AAATCGGCTTATTTATGTAAAGACAAGCATCTGTTTGATGTTCACTGTTATTAAAATATGGTACCTTCAAAGTTTTACCCCAGTCAGTAAACATGCGCCCCATTTGTTGCTCTATATGATAATCTGGGTTACTCATCGAGAAAAACGATTAAGACCACAAACTCCAGCCCCCCCCTGGTGGCACAGCGGACTTACAATGTTAGACGTTTGGGCACATTACAAGCATCATTCCAAATTTTTTCAAGGCTTCTTCTCCGTTTAAAGAAAGCTATATATATATATATGAGCCCCCCCAATGGCACAGCGTTAAGTCTGCGGACTTACAACGCTAGAATCCACGTTTCGATACCCGTGGTGGGCAGAGCACAGATAGCCCATTCTGTAGCTTTGTGCTTAATTACAAACTCCTATTTTTTAATATCACTAATTTTTAACCCTCTTTTGTATTTTGTTATGAACTTTTCGGGGACGTCTTTAAAGACAGTTTGAATTTTTATTCTACCAAAAAACCAAACAAAAAGGCCTTAAATGAGCAGAATGAAAGATACATTTCACCCTTGTGTAACCAGCAAACAATAAGGTTTGTTTGTTTGTTATGAATTTCGCGAAAAGCTACACGAGGGCTATCTGCGCTAGCCGTCCCTAATTTAGCAGTGTAAGAATAGAGGGAAGGCAGCTAGTCATTACCACCCACCGCCAACTCTTGGGCTACTCTTTTACCAACGAATAGTGAAATCGACCGTCACGTTATAATGCCCCCACGGCTGAAAGGGCGAGCATGTTTGGTGTGACGGGGATTCGAACCCGCAGATTGAGCGCGCTAACCACCTGGCCATGCCGGGCCAAAGAATGAGGACTGTGTTCACTTCCAAAACTTCATCTTGTCGAAAATCCCCCTAACATCCTTTATTTTGCAACATATAATTTAAGCTGCTCAACAAAGTTCAATTAAGTATCGCACTTTTTGCCATCTCTTAAGAATGAGAGCCGAGAATGACTTAGTGGTTAGCTTGAATGAACTGTGAATTCGAGGGTTCGTATCCCGTTGTTAAAAAACAAACAAACATGCTTTGTATTTTGGGGCGCTGGGAGCGCTATAAAATGACTATTCGGTCAGACATAAATAGCCTTTCTTATTTGTCAGTCCAGAATTAGGAACGGCTATGCACAAACAGACTTTGTTTAGCTTGATGCAAAATTTTGAATTAAACAAGAATGTGTGGAACTTGATGACGTATTAGTCACAATCATGTTAACAGTAGTTGTATTGTTATAGAAAAGATCCATATAACGAACGGCATTGACAATTATGAGCGAAACGTGTCAGTCAAACAAATGAAATCAAGCAGAAATTGTATTGTATCTGGTATGTATACTAAGGTTGTCAGCCGTCGTCTCTAATTTTCAACTGCTGACGAGTCAGCCAGTCAGCAGCACTATATCATTAACCATCCATGTCAAGAGACTGACTGTCACATTCATAACGTACCTACAGATAAAGAGAGAGGAATAAGATAGAGTTTCTAAATGTTGAGTGAAATCAATACAAGACAAAGGACAAGGTGGAGTTTTTAAATGTGGAGTGAGATCAATATGAGATAGAAGACAGGATCAAGTTTCTAAATATTGAATGAGATCAATACAAGACAAATGACAGGGTGGAGTTTTTAAATGTTGAGTGAGATCAATATGATATAAAAGACAGGATGGAGTTTCTAAATATCAAATGAAATCAATACAAGACAAAGGACAGGGTGGAGTTTTTAAATGTTGAGTGAGATCAATATGATATAAAAGACAGGATCGAGTTTCTAAATGTTGAGTGAGATCAATATAAGATAATGGACAGGATGTTGTTTCTAAATGTTGAGTGAGATCAATACAAGACAAAAGGACAGGGTGGAATTTTTAAATGTTGAGTGAGATCAATATGATATAAAAGACAGGATCGAGTTTCTAAATGTTGAGTGAGATCAATATAAGATAATGGACAGGATGTTGTTTCTAAATGTTGAGTGGAATCAATACAAGACAAAGGACAGGGTGGAGTTTTTAAGTGTTAAGTGAGATCAATATAAGACAATGGACAGGATGGAGTTTTTAAACGTTGAGTGGGATCAATACAAGACAAAGCACAGGGTGGAATTTTTAAATGTTGAGGGAGATCAATACGAGACCATGGACAGAATGGAACTTTTAAATGTTGAGTGAGATCAATATAAGACAATGGATAGGGTGGAGTTTTTAAACGTTGAGTGAGATCAATATGAGACAAAGGGCAGGATGGGATTTCTAAACGCTGTGTGAGATCAATATCAGAGAAAGGACAGAATCGAGTTTCTAAATGTTGAGTGAGATCAATATAAGACAATGGACAGGATGTTGTTTCTAAATGTTGAGTTAGATCAATCTGAGAGGGAAGACAGGGGGACAGAACAGACCAAAGAGCTAGCGCTAATATATAATATTAACAAGGGAGGATAAATCAATGCTTGAGTCATTATAAAGCATTTTAAACGGGTTAATCATCAGAGGTTGTAATTTTTTGAAATATCAACTTAAACCAGATGCATTTGTTACAACTGAATAAACATGTTGAACCGGATGTTGTTCGTTTGTTGCAACATCCAAAACCTGTAAGTTATAACAGCTAAATTTATGGTAACGATACACTGTGAGTAAAATATGATTTGGTGACATCTAATAATAAGTACTAACTGATAATGAATTTCTGAAATAAAATGTCCCTGACCATTAAGTTTGTCTCGTTGACCTCAAAAAATGGTTTAAATAGTATGGACAACTCATGCACAGCCAAAGAACCATGACCCGTATCAACTTAGTTGTAAAAATTAACACACAGACTAACAAACGGTGTCCAACAAAGATACAGAGTAATAAAACTTTAAATTTTCATTTTATTTTTATTTACAAACATGTAATAACTTCCAGGTTTTTAATATTTAGGAGCCGAGTCCGTTCCAGATAAGCCTTGCTTCTATTCAAGAGCAGTATATCGTTTACAACAGAGAAAAGTGAGTTTTAATATTTACTATGTTTGTTCAACACTAGTAGGTTCATTGTGTCATTACACCTTTCACACTAACTGTTTGTTCAATACTAGTAGGTTCATTGTAAGTGTGAAAGGTGTAATGGCTAGTGTTGAACAAACAGTTAGGTTCATTGTATCATTACACCTTTCGCACTAACTGTTTGTTCAACACTAGCAGGTTCAGTCTGTCATTACACCTTCCACACTAGCAGGTTCAATCTGTCATTACACCTTTCACACTAACTGTTTGTTCAATATTAGTTATTTATTTTGTGTTGGCAAGACTTCTTTTTAATATTTATTAAAATCAATTCTCAATAACATTATCGCTAAAAATTGGGATTCGATATCCACAATGGGCACAGCACTGATAACTCATTGTGTAGCTTTGTGCTTAATAATAAACAAACAAAAAACTTAAAACTGAACATTCCTTTTGATGACGAAACTGAAGAAAGGCATTTTGTCAAATACGCGTTCTCTCTAATCTTGTTACTATCGAGAGTGTTTAAAGGCCTAGCTTTCATACCTTTTGTTTTGTAATTCTGAACTTTAGGCCTAGCTTTCATACCTTTTGTGGTGTAATGCTGAAATTTAGGCCTAGCTTTCATACCTTTTGGGGTCTAATGCTGAACTTTAGGCCTAGCTTTCATACCTTTTGTGGTGTAATGCTGAACTTTAGGCTTAGCTTTCATACCTTTTGTGGTGTAATGCTGAAATTTAGGCCTAGCTTTCATACCTTTTGGGGTCTAATGCTGAACTTTAGGCCTAGCTTTCATACCTTTTGTGGTGTAATGCTGAACTTTAGGCTTAGCTTTCATACCTTTTGTGGTGTAATGGTGAACTTTAACATTAAAATGTACAGAAACTGCCTAATGAGTTTGCTGAGGAGAGAGGGCTTCACATTTAGCTTATCCAAGTTAACTGAAGCAAGGTTTGAGAGAAGAGATTTTGGGAAATAACAAGTCTGTTTATTTTCTGCAGAAATATAATATCATATTAAAGAGAATTTAAGATATATATATATATATTATAAAAAATAAAATACCCGTGTTATCGTTTAACAAAATCCTGCGATTAAACTTGTACATTTTTATGAGACAGTTATAAAACTAGGCTAGGAGAATAATCTTTATGAAATCGTTAAGCTCGAAAAATAATTTGTAGAGAGAGAGAGAGAGAGCAGCAGCAGCATGTTATAAAAAAAACAAGCGGACTTGAATTTTCTCTAATGTAGTCTGAAGATAGAAAAGTCAATAACTGACATCCTCCGTAAAACAAATCTAAAAACTCGTTTATTTTTTCTGAAAGTCTTAGCTACTTTCGGTGGTAAACAATATTTTATTTCTTCACAATTTTCTAAAGTAGGATTTCAGAGAAGAAAGCCAAAAAACGATAAAGCATCGAACAAAAATACTGACAAAGAAAATTTAGGTACAAACTAGGGTTATAGATAGATAAAATGTTTTATTAAGGAAGGTATCTTAGGAAGAAGAAGAACCCGCACAGAATTAGTGATACAATGTCACCTGTCAGGTTTACATCTCTATTCGTAAGCCTTACAGGTGTGAAGAAAAAAATAAAGAGCAGATACAGACGTTCAAGTCCACAATGTTCCACATCTAAAGCTGTAGTCTGTTGTTGGAGTTACTCCTTTATGGAAACAAAATTGTAAAAAAATCAAAAAAAAAAAACAGGCTACTAAAACTGAACCACTTGGGGTTATAAGTAAAATTTATATCCTTAAATTTGCATTCCAGCCCCCATAATAGTCGTATATCTATATGAACAGTGTTGTCGTAGGCTATGTGTTTAATATTTTAATGTTTTGATCACTAGAGGGAATTATTTTTGTTTCTATGACGTAATGAATATGTGGAGTCTGGAAGTTTCATGAAAGTTTAGGCCTCGTTGCACATCTCAAATATTCGTGAAATAGAGCACAATATAAAAACACCAGACCGAGTGAGTTAGAATGAATTAATTAGTTCATGATCAGTTAAAATATTTAGTTAGACATTGTGAGTTAGTCTATGATTCAATCAGCCAGTTATTGGAAAGACTGTCAGTTAGTCAGTGGTGTTTTCTTTATCGATTGATTAGCTTGAACTTCATTTGTAAGCTAGGCATAAGTTTAATTTCAAAATTCTAGTTGAGACGTTGTTTGTGAAGTTAGGCCCATCAGTGAGCATAGCCCATAGCTTGTGTAAAACGTGATTAAAAAAATAAATTAATTCGTATCGTTAAGTGGATTGGACTTTGCATTATTTTTACTGATTAATCCAAATGAACCCACTTAACTATAGAACACGTTACGACATTGGTATCAAAAGTGGGATTATTTTGGTGAAAATAAAACAGAAGTTTGACAAAACTTAAAGATGACAACATGAGAACGAAGCAAGATTAAAACTATACTAGAATTGATAAAACGGTGAAAAGAAGAATAAGCAAAAAGAAAAAGAGAGACAATAAAATAAAAAAGACGAACAAGAAGAAAGACACAGAAAATGTGAACAAATAAATTAATTCATTATGGCTAAGTGGACTGGAACAGATACATAACTAGAGTGAGTTCGAATGACCACCCCAATATTCTAAAAAACCTTAAAGGTCCATATCTTCTAATTTTATGTCTATTTTTAACACTTGAAATTCATGTAAACCATTTAAATTATTTACTTAAAAGAAAAGATCCACATTATTTTTGAAAAAGACCCCCCTCCCCCAATGTTTTAGTTCTGGTTAAGCCCCTGGACTTGACTTCGCATTATTTTTGTCGAATAATCCAAAAGAACCCACTAAATAACAGAATGTGTTACAAAATTATAATAAAACCTAAGATATCTAGGTTAAAACATACTGTTATTAGAATAATAAGACGTGTATGAGATGCTTGGGGAGGCTTAGCTGCTTGTGGAGGCTTAGCCTCACTAAATGGGTGAAGAGAAAGAGTTCACCTCTGACCGCCCGAGAAGCAATCCCCTTTGGACGCTCTTCATGGACAAACGAACAGTCTCCCCAAATAAAGTATCCCTTATTATTTTATTATGATTCTATCCAACTCAAAAATATAACACTGTGTATGTGACAGAATAGCCTACTCAAACAAAAGACTCATGTGCCATCTATGTTCAATTTTAAATCTATTCTGTTTTCAGAGTTACCACATATATATAATTATATGGAAATCCAAAAGTGAAATTGGAAATGTTACGATCAATATTATAAAGTATTGGATAATTGTTTGTTTGTTGTTAAGCCTAATGAATAGTAATCAATTAGTCTTACTTGATGTAATAACCTTAAAAAAACTTTTCTACACACACACACTCGGTTTTTAGACTCCATATTTGAAAATAATTTTAACTACAATTTTAAACCAGTTTGTCAGTCATAACTTAGGCAGCAATTGGTATTAAAAACTTAAACTGAAAGGACTATTTCTGAAACGACGTTTGGGCACATTACAAGCATCATTCCAAATTTTTTCAAGGCTTCTTCTCCGTTTATAGAAAGCTATATACATATATATATGAGCCCCCCCCCCCCAATGACACAGCGGTATGTCTGCAGACTTACAACGCTAGAATCCTGGTTTCGATACCCGTGGTGGGCAGAGCACAAATAGCCCATTGTGTAGCTTTGTGCTTAATTACAAACATATATATATATGAAGTTTAAGTTGGGCGAATGGATACATATAGAGAATAGGTGTTTTAGTGTTATGTTACGATTTAGTCTACGTTTGTAGTCATTCTATAACTTAGAAAATACACAATTCAAGGGTAAAACTGGAATAGTGTTTTAGGTCGTTTAAGGCTTTAAGTGAAACGTATGTATTCGTAATTAATCCTCTGAATTGAGTGTAATGTTGTGCTTTTTTTGACGAGGTATTTCCATATTCTGGCAAGGTTGTTACTAACATGATCAATAAATGGGATAGTGGCAATGATAGTTTCCTGGTTTTTTGTTAAATTGAATGTCACATGGCGTCTTCATTTTGGTTTCTCCGATTGTATTTATTGTATACTCCGAGTTTGTTTTTTTTCCCCAAGTAGAAACTTTTAGCTCATAGCTCCGTCATCTCTTGATGGATTTGAGATCTAATTACAGTTTTCGACTCAGGAGGTCAAACCATTTCAGTTGATGTATTTGACCACGTCCCAGGTTTCGAACGTTAATTTACTCTAATCCTGCCTAAAAGAATTTCAATTTGAGGGTAGGCTGGTAGAGATCCTGATGAGTAATAAAATCGAATCAGTTATACGCGCGCCCCGAAGCTGGCGCACAAAAATATAGCTAATAAAAAAAGGAAAATAAAAAAGGGTATCATAGATTAATTTACTCTAATCCTGCCTAAAAGGATTTCAAGTGCCACGGCTATTGAGGGTTTCCTCTTGTCTTTTTTGTTTTTGTTACTTTTTCTTCGGGGTGACCATTTTTATGAATGAAAATCTCTGATATCCTTAAGTTACTGTTTAAATTGTTGCGAGTGCGTATGTCAAGTGTGATTGGAATTTTACATTTTAAGATTCCAAGTTTTTGCTCTGGATGGTGTGCTGATTTTCAGTCTACATACTGTTCTAAGTGCCTTGGTTTCCTGTAAATATAGATTTCAAATCCTGTTGGTTTCATAATAATGTGGATACTCAACAAATTGTGATTCTTTTGACTTTCTAATAATATGGATATTAAAAACAAAATGGTGTTAAATCCAGTTGAATTCCTAATAATTTGGATATTAAAAAAATGGTGTTAAATCCAGTTGATTTCCTAAAGATATGGATATTAAAAAATGGTGTTAAATCCAGTTGATTTCCTAATGATGTAGACATTAAAAATGTGTTAAATCCAGTTGATTTCCTAATGATTTGGATATTTAAAAATTGTATGATTGTAGTTAAGCACAAAGCTACACAATGGGCTATCTGTGCTCTGCCCACCACGGGTATCGAAACCTGGATTCTATCGTTGTAAGTCCGCTGTGCCACTAAGGGGCATATTAAAAAAAATGGTGACCCTGTTGATTTCCTAATAATTTGGATATTAAAAACAAAATGGTGTGAAATCCAGTTGAATTCCTAAAGATGTAAACATTAAAAATGTGTTAAATCCAGTTGATTTCCTAATAATTTGGATATTAAAAACAAAATGGTGTTAAATCCAGTTGATTTCCCAATGATGTAAACATTAAAAATGTGTTAAATCCAGTTGATTTCCTAATGATTTGGATATTTAAAAATTGTATGTTTGTAGTTAAGCACAAACCTACACAATGGGCTATCTGTGCTCTGCCCACCACGGGTATCGAAACCTGGATTCTAGTGTTGTAAGTCCGCTGGCATACCGCTGTGCCACTAAGGGACATATTAAAAAAAAATGGTGACCCTGTTGATTTCCTAATGATGTGGACATTTAAAAAAATGAAGAAATTTTCTTCGTCATCAGGGTTGAAGTGGATGTTGATATTCTCAAGGTCAAGGTTCAAACCACAGAAAACATCATCAACATACCTAATCCAATGTACTGAAATATGTACGTCTTTCATCTCTAGTTGGATCAGGAAGACATTGACTAATGAGGTAGATAAAGTGCCGCCCATACAGGGTCCATCATTTTGGCAGAAAGTTATTGTCGTTAAATCGAAAGCAAAACTTTGTTGCTAAGTGATTGATATCACTAAGTTTTACTGGGTTGTGGTAATTCTTCGTTTTGGCTTATTGATGATCTTGTTTCTCCTCAAGGAATTTGGGTATACAGAAGTCAAAACTTGCCATCTTAATTTTATGATTTAATGATTGAATAAAATAAGATGTGTTTACAGAGGTTTGGTGTTGAATTATAAGAATTTAACATAGGTGGTAATAAGTTATTTATAAAAAAAAACGTTAAAAAGAAAAACACATTTTTCTCAAGCATTTTTTTGAACCAAGCTGTTTTTGGGTCCATAACTTTGAGCCCCCCTGTGGCACAGCGGTTTGTCTGCGGACTAAGAACGCTAGAATCCAGGTTTCGATACCCGTGATGGGCAGAGCACAGATAGCCCATTACGTAGCTTTGTGCTTAATTACAAACAAACTATAACTTGGCAGGTCACAGGGTCCACAATAACTTACGCGCCACACAAAAAAGTAAACAAAAAATATTTGTTTAAGATATATTTTTGTTTGTTTCATGGGAAAAAACAAAGTTAAACGTTGTTTAATTATAGTTAGTTTGACAGCTTGAAATACAGAAATGTTTATTTGTAATTATTTATTGAAATTACTTGATTTCCCAAACTTTTCATTAATTTATCCACTCTTACATCTTTACAGGATTCGTCTTTTATATAACTTGGCACTTTTTTTGATATCCATGTTCATATGACCGACTCCTTTTCCTTTATTCTAACTCGGCTGTTTTTGTACATGTAAAATGTTTCGATCAAATTTAAATACTGCTTTCATTTCGAATAGTCAACTGGGGTCATCTTAACGTTTAAATAGAGAACCGTACAAGTGATATTATGTTAAAGATACTGATTGGTTGGGGCATTTGTGAATGCCTAAGTATGATTTCCAGTTTGAAGTACTATCCGAAAAATAAGTTCCTACGATATAGTTATCCACACATGAAAACGAGTTTATTTTTAAAATCTAGTTAACCTCATATAAAAGTAAGCTCTTATTTTCAAAATATAAAGTTAACCTCAGATGAAGTTAAGTTTCTACTTTCAAAACAAAAAATTAACCCGAAAGGAAAATATGTTTTCACTTTAAATACATAAATTAACCTCAAGGATATTAAAATCCTACTTTAAATACATAAATTAACCTCAAGGATAGTAAAATCCTACTTTAAATACATAAATTAACCTCAAGGATAGTAAAATCTTACTTTAAATACATAAATTAACCTCAAGGATAGTAAAATCTTACTTTAAATACATAAATTAACCTCGAGGATAGTAAATTCTACTTAAATAC